TTGCTTTAACTTTGACCACAGATTTTTGTCAACCACATTGGTGCTCGCGCCCGAATCAATCCACATCGCAACTACAACTCCGCCCACTGTCACATCTATTTCCTCAAGTGATGCAGCAGAATTCACAGTAAATGCATACTCATCTTCATCTATTTCACTTCCCACACATACTTGACTGACTTCTTTTTCTTTCCCTTTGTCTTCTCTTTTCGGGCAGGTTTGGGAGGTTTAGCTGTTTTCGTTCTAAACTGCGAACTAAAATGGTCAGCACCTCCGCCCTTATGGCAAGTTTTTCCTTTCGAAGGGCATTCAGAGTCTCGTCCAAAATGCCCTACTTTTCCACATCTGTAGCATGCTCGCTTTACAGGCTCCTTCCCTTTGTCTTCCTGCTTGTCGTGGACCGAATTCACATCCTTTCGAATTCTGCTTTCCACACTCTCCAGCTGTGGTTGAACTGGCTCGTGATTTGCTGCCGTCGAAAGTAACAGCTCTAAGGTTAATTTGTCACCTTTTCCCACCAGCTTCTTCCTTAATTCATGTGATTTAAATCGCTGCACGACTTGGTCACGAATCTGGTTTTCGGCTTGTTCGCCGTAGTCACAGTCCTTGATCACTTGCCTCAATCGTGTCCCTAACTGAGCCACAGTTTCGCCGTCCTGTTGTTCCATGCTGCGGGGAAGGTGACTTTGGTATGTCGAATTTACCTTTGGAATGAAATAACCGTTCAAAGCCTTCACCGCTTTTTCGTAATCTTTCCCCTCGCCTGTGTCAGCCAACGTTTCGAAAATATCCACCTTCGCCGGCTGAATGAAGAAGTAAAGCTCTCCTCTGGGTTTTGCTTGCTTGGATGAGCAAGCCCTTGCTGTCGGCATACACCGAGAAACTTTTGAACCAATGCTGCCTTCGCCTTCCCACGCCTGAAGGTTCACTATGTGGGTCGAAGGGTTTTACACTCGTTAAATCGTCTATTTTAATTGACGCCATGGTCCGGCGAGGCAGTTGCAACTCCAGTCCTCGTCGCCAGATGTCACTTTCCTCAACCGATGGAACTGGATTATTGCAATAAACGGACACAACACACGAATCAAATCTAGATGTTCGCCATGCTGCTTTAATAATCAACTTCCCAACTTACATTGCGCGCTTAAGTATATTATGTATGATACAGCGAAATGTACCTTGCAAACCCTAAACTGACCACGCGGACAGGCCTTGGGAAAGGGTACCGGAATCTGCAACAAGTCCCAGGTCGATAGTGAAAACACATGAACGAATAACAATGAAAATCGCGATGATTGGGCATCTCTTGACTGTAGTGCGTGAATTAAAATGCAATTATTATTCAATAATTCTTGTCAGTTGGACTAAATCTTTCAGTTAGGCAAGATATATGGGTTATTGAGCGAGTGTGAGGTCAAGATGGCTGGATATTGGCCAAGTTCTTTTTTTGCGTGGACCGAGACGGAGTCGAGGTCGATAAACTCACCAAAAAAGAACGAGGCCAATATCAAGCCATCTTGACCGAACAAGATTGGTTAATAAAGGATTTATTATATTTCTCTTGCGGGACATAGCGGGTAGTCTCGAGAGGGCAAGATAGCTCCATCTTGCCCGCTCGGGTAGCCAATCACAGTGTAGGATTTGATTCATCTTGCCCGAATAGTTATATGAATGCCGTTTTTAGGACATCGTATAAAAAAATACCCTTCAACAGCCCCCGCAAACCAAAAAATACCCTCGCGGGGTCTCAACTCAAAAAATGCATTTTCAAGAGTTTTTTATAGTTCAAGTCAATCATGGGAAACAAGTCAATCAAACCAAAGTATAAGCCAATCAAGCCAATCGAGCTAGTCAAGTCAATTGTGCCAATCGAGTCAATCGAGTCGATCAAGCCAAAGTCTAAGTCAATCAAGCCAATCAAGTCAGAGTTCAACCTGGGATTCTCAATCTTCGGGTGAAGAATGGTCACCTGATTCTTCACAATCAACAGATTCTGATTGAATTTATTGTAACATAGTAATAGTAATGAACAGCAATACAGAAATACAGAATGAAATGATCAAAATGGACTACATAGATTGTCAATTCTGTGATCAACAGTTACAACAACCATCAACAATATACCTTACTTGTTATTCAAAACAAGACATGATAAATAACAAAGGCGCCAATATATGCCGTAATTGTAGCACAGTTAACAGTTATGGTATAGCCAGTGAATACGTTGATTTTTATGAAAATAAACATAGGTTTGTAAAGAAATCAGTTTACCAAAGAAAATGACATTTAGAAAATGTATTAAATGATATTTCTAGTAAAAATGGATGGCAAATATCAGTACAAAATCTTAATAGAATACATGATATTTTCCAAAAAATGGACAGGATACTGTCACAAATTAATGGTGATCGTAAACGAATGATTAACATTAATTTTATTTTAATTTGGATTTACCGATTGATAAAATAGGTCCGAAAAAACTTTGCTAATGAATGAATATTATTGGAATAAAATAATTAATCTTATTAAGTTGTAAATAATTTATTGTATTTATCCTCAAATTTGTCGTATAATGGACACATATCTATTATAATTTCATCGACAACTTTGATGTAGTCTAGAAATCGTCCGTCATCGAATCCTAATACTCTCAGAAATGACCTTATGTCGGTAAATATTTTTTCATATGAAGTGTAAGCGAATTTACATATCTCAATCTTTATTTTGTAATTTTTAGCTTCTCTGAATGCGCTCAAAATAAGACCAGCACCTGATATTGTCCCAAGAACAATGCAGGGGCGTAGCCAGCCTTTTTGCATAGAGGGGTTCCTAATGTATATTGCTTGTGTCTTCAGAAATTGCGTTTCCTTGATTCCGAGCTCAAATTTCCAATAATTTCAGCGCCAAACGTAGCTAGTATTTCTAAGAGGGGATTGTAAATTTCACTTTCTGAAGAGATGGACCGTGATAGAATTAAAAATGGATAATATAGGAGCGGTGGATGCTTCGGTGCAAGAATGTCGATTGTTGCACCAATGTCAATTTGCCTACCATAATAGATGTTCATTAGCGCAAGGCCAGACTCTCGCTCACTGGTCATGGTCGCCCTCACATAAGTTTTCAGTCGTGGCAATGTGCTGAACGATCGCTCACATTCTGCAGAGGTAATTGGCAACGTACATAGCATGCGCAACAACTTATTACGTTTGGAAAGAATTCATGGTTGCATTCTTCTAATGCCTGAACTGCACTGCTGGGTAGGTCTTGATCCATTGTGGTGCCCATTTCGTATCACAACCCACCTGTCTGGGAATTCTTTTCTGAAGGAAAGCAACTATCAGTGACTCTAAATGCAATCACAACGTCTCTCGTAACACTACTTTATAACGGCTTTGAACCTTAAGGAAATTATGAATATAATTATAGCTAATTGTCTAACACAAAATGCTGTCTCACTAGTTCTAGTCTATATGCAAAGTGTCTGGATAAATTCAGTTACTATAAACGCTTACCTGGCTTCAGTTTTAGAGGCATGCCCCTTTCTTATAATCCCTTAAAAGTGGAGCGACGTTAAAAACCTTAGCCCCAGCGATAAATTGGTCGTGAATGCGTTGTTGCGAGTACTGAAAATTCAGGTTGATTCNTCCTATTTGAAACATATGGGAAGCAACCGGAAATGGTCTGTTTTTCAGACCACATATTTTCCATGCCCATATTTTATATCGTGAACTCTTAGTATCCCTGCAAAGTTCAGCCCTAAGTTTAGTAAAATCAAGAAAAAAATACTAAGGTTGAAGCATTTTTAAGAAGAAAAAACTTACAAGAAAGTGACTAATCAGGCCACTTCCAGTTAAAGTTTCAACAAAGCGTGTCTGTAAAAATCAGCCATTAATTTCGATTAATACCTTTTTTCTTTTAAGTCATGAATTAGAGACTCTGAAGTTAATTGTAACCAAAAAGACTTACCGTTAATCAGAAATTTTCATGTTATTGTTTTAGGACCGATCAGATTTTGGTCCGGCAACGGTTATAAATTTTGTGGAAGAAGTCTTGAAAATTGCAGATAATGGAGTCACTGTGAAAACAAATATATATATACCTAACAATCTGTCTCTTGCCGGTTAATTATAATGCACCATTGCATCTTTTTTGGTCCAAACTGCAATGTTTAGTTTATTTTTAACATTCAACCCGTTCAACGAAACAAGTCTGTGCCCCAAGTAATGAAGCACTACTTAAATCAGGAAATAAGCCGCCAAGCTTTGTGGTGCCCATTTCGTATCACAACCCACCTGTCTGGGAATTCTTTTCTGAAGGAAAGCAACTATCAGTCACTCTAAATGCAATCACAACGTCTCTCGTAACACTATGTATAACGGCTTTGAACCTTAAGGAAATTTTGAATATAATTATAGCTAATTGTCTAACACAAAATGCTGTCTCACTATTCCAGTCTATATGCAAAGTGTCTGGATAAATTCAGTTACTATAAACGCTTACCTGGCTTCAGGTTTAGAGGCATGCCCCTTTCTTATAATCCCTTAAAAGTGGAGCGACGTTAAAAACCTTAGCCCCAGCGATAAATTGGTCGTGAATGCGTTGTTGCGAGTACTGAAAATTCAGGTTGATTCATGTCGTATGTGGCGACGTCACGATACGCCAACTTATCTGTAGTTTGCTAGCTATGATTGACTTGGAATTCAGTTTTTTTCCCGTCTAGATTCGTCTCCTTGATACTGCAGAGAATGATTAGGTATAGAACTTGCATGAGAGGTCATGGGAACCTGAAGAACGAATGGATATGTTACAGAATATTTATTCACACCCAGTCCCCCAGTGCAAACGGCCTAGGTATTATAATTGAGGACGTCCAAGACGGTCCGTATTCCCCGCCAAGTCGCTGAATGTCTGACCAAATTAGCAGAAAATTACTCATTGGCACACTTTCCCTTTCTCTATCAGGATTTTCCTTTTGTTGCTTCCTCAGTCAGCACAGATCCATGGTGGCAATCAGACTAAATCGGTGTACCG